ACTATAGTGATAATAAGGAACCCCCCAAACCCTATTCAAATTATTAAGGCCCCTACATTATGAAGGACTCAGAGCTTCGGGGTAGGAAATCTTGCACGACAAGCCAGGGAAATCGTGCGTGTTCGTGGGGTGTTCAGAACGATTATGCGCAGGGCGTACGTACCCCGAAGCCCTTAACCATCCCTAAACCCTACAGCCCTAATTGCTAAACCATCCCAAACTCACAAGGTTTAGGGTTTTAGGGTTTAGGGTTTAGGGTTTTAGGGTTTAGGATTTAGGGTACAGTCTCGTGGTTTTGGTGCTCATGACCTCTGGCCTGTTCTCCTTGAAGTGCGACCGTTGAGTCCACATGCATACACGCAGAGACATGTTAGTGTACGCACATACGAATATACGCATACATGTGTATACATAGAATATATATATATATATATTTGCAAACAGACGTGCAGCAAAATAATACAGTCTTGCGGAGTGCATACTGACCTGTCGTGATCGCAGTATAGTGCTTTGATTTTCTGGTAATAGTAGTATTTTGTATTCCCTGCATAACTGTAGTATCTGTTTTAACTCATTAGGAAGGCTCCGAAAAGCATAGGGTGTAACTATGTCCGATCAGTCGCAGAATTCCCTGCTCCCTCAGTCCCTGGTTAGCACCTCGCGAAAACTAAGGCTAAATGCTAATACTCGATAAATCGTCTCCACACCAAGCCCTGCCCGCTACAACCCAAACGGCGCACCCTCTACATTCAGTATCCCTGTCAATAGCCTGTTGAGGTCCCTAAACCCGAAACCCCAAACCTCAAAGCCTAAACCCTAAACCCCAAAACCTAAACCTCAAGCCCTGAACCCGAGGTGTGGTGGACTGACATGAGTTTCGACAAGGCGAAGAGCTCGGTGCAGCGATCTTTGCAAAAGCCAGGCGCCCCAAAGTTGAGGATGGTTTAAGGGTTTATAATTGGGGTTTAGGGTTTAGGGCTTAGGGTATAGAGTTTAAGTAGGGGGTCTTCAGGGTATCAGTAGCTTTGGTAGTGTTTTGGTGGCATGGCTACTATGCTATATACTTATATTAGATTGAGGAACCCCCCCCCAAAAAAAAAAAAAGCTAACTACTTGCCTGTCTAGGCACCTGTATCACTTTTCTGGGAAGAAGTAGCAATCATTGAGGCCCCTTTGTTGCAACCCTACAACCCTGAATTTATAAATCCCTAAACCCTAAACCCTAAACGCTAAAACCCCTTATGGCCGTTGCTCTCAAAGCTCAGGTCTTTGGTGGTTTGCCATCCCCACGCTCCGTCCCGAGGTTTAGGGCTGAAGGTTTCGATTTCAGAGTTTAGGGTTTAGGGTTTAGGGTTGAGGGTTTAGGGTTTAGGGTTTAGGGTTTAGGGTTTAGGGTATAGGGTTAGGGCTGAAGGTTTAGATTTTAGAGTTTATGGTTTGGGATTTGGGTTGAGGGTTTAGCGTTCAGGCCTGTTTCAAACCATGTAAGTCATGGGCCATCCGAATCCATCGCACAAAAGCCGATAGAATTCTCCCTACAGGCAACCACAGAGGAACGCCATAAGCGCTGAATGTCACTAAAGCCCCAATCCCCCAACCCCCATATGCAAAAGGCTGAGATTGCCCTACAACCTTATTCCTCCAGCCTCTGCAAAGTAAAGGTTTCACGAGAACCATGTAAAACCTCAAGCAAATAGGGCCAAACATGCAAAAAAACAAAAGAGCTCACACGTACGCACACACACACTCTCTCCCTCTCTCTGCCTCTGTCTCTGTCTCTGTC